TTAATTAATTAATTAATTAATTAATTAATTTATGCTGCTAATGATGACAAAGCCACTGATCTGTTTCCTCACATGCAAAAGCACTGGAAAAATAATTCAGGAGTTGACTGTTTTTTTCAGTGGGGAGTCTTGACAAGTGAAGACCTCCTTTTTGTCAAGGATGAGAATATTTGCAATGCTTCTTTATAATCTTAGAGCCTGATGCCCTCAATTGTATATGGAACATCTATGTATGTAGGATGCTCTCTGATGCCGAAAATCATCTTCGACAAATGAAGTTTTATTTTTTTTATTTACAAATTTTAGCCCCTGATTTGATCTCTGAAACATCTCACTAAGCCTGAGGGCATTTGGCTCAAAGTTAAAGCCAAGCATAAGCTATGAAAAGATAAAGAAAAGGGTGGAGAAGCAATCATAAGATCAAGCGATAAGATCAGAATGCAGAGGTCAAACTACTGTACATGATTCTTGTTGCTAATGCATCCTGTGATCTGATGACCTTACTACTGTTAGGTCATAACAGAGGGTGATCCTGTGACAATCATAGTTGAAGGCATTTGATTTAATACCTCCTGCACCCACTCTTGTTTGAATGGATTAAACTGTAACTAAGAACTAACAGGAATTATGCATATGAATTCCTTGATTATTCCTCCTTTGATTTTCCTCTACATCCCCTTTTTTTTCATTTGGTCTTCCTTATTTCAAACCTTAGTTCCTAGCCCTAAAACAGTGGTTCCCAACCTTGGGTCTTGGACTACAACTCCCAGAAATCCTGCCCAGCACAGCTAGTTGTGAAGGCTTCCGGGTGTCTTAGTCCAAGAACATCTGTGGAAGTTGGGAACCACTAAGATAAACTAGAGATGTACAAATTAGTGTTATTGGACTGCAGCCCACTAAATCTTCTCTCTTGGCACTGGCATTGATACTTGGTGTATGTATTGCTGTGAACAGTCGGAGGAGGTAAGGAATGGTTTTCCAAGTTTTCCATGACTTCATGCCAGGAAATTATTTCTGTTGATCTTTTCACTGACATCTTCTAAGATCTGACATCTTTAGAGAATGCAGAGAAGGGAACAGCTCCTTACTTTATGACACCCTCAGCTAAAAGCATCCTGTAAGGCACAAAAGTGAGGAAACTGCAGTTCACTCTTAAAACTCTCACACATTTAAGGTTCTGGCTCTCTCTGTGTGTTCCTATTGGAGGTGGTCTCTCCATATGAAGAGAGGGAGCTAGGTGGAGTCACACTGTCCCTTCAGTTGAGTCCTCACTCTCATCCATCTGCAGATGGAAACTCTTTAGAAAATGATTTTCTAAGGTTTTAGGATGGCTGTATTTAGTACCTGGTTGTGGAGATTGAAAGTTTGGTTCTCCACGGTGCCTCCTGAAAATAGAGCCAGCCTTTGTGGCCTTGGGCAAGCTGTAGAGTCCTAAAGTGGTACCAAAAGAAGATAACTGGTAAACCATTTCTAAGTAGTCTACATCAAGAAAACCCTGAAAAAGTTCATTGTAAATCAGAATAGACTTAACAGCATGTAATTATTATTAAGGGCAGGTATAGACATTAGAGCAGGGTTCCCCAACCCCTGGTCTGTGGCCTTGGAAGAATCGGGCTGCCAGGACAAACGAGCGGCAAGCAGGAGGTGAGTGGTGAATGAAGCTCTCCCTCCTGTCAGCGTGCTCCTATTAGGTTTTAATGCTGCTGCTGATCTGACAGGAGGCAGAGCTTTGCCCCCCTCCTGCTGCTAGATCAGCTATGCTTGTGGCATTAGAATCTAATAGGAGCCTGCACTTCTATTATGTTCTAAGGTGCTGCTGATCTAACAGGAGGTGGAGCGTCAGTTGCAGCTCACTTCCTGCTCCTGCTTGCCATTTCTTTTATGAGCTCAATTCAAAGCTATCCTCCATCATAACAAGTACCCTCCCCCCGGTCCTTGGGAGAATGGTCTTTAACTAAACCAGTCCGTGGTGTCAAAAAGGTTGGGGACCACTGCATTAGAGAACCTGTCAGCAAAGTTGAATATAGATGTCAATGTTGTCTTTGCAAGTGAGGATGGAATCCCCAGGTTCTCTTCCCATTGGCAGAGGTGATTAGGTTTTTTGGGAGGGGGCTGAGAGTGGAAGAAAAACAATTATATTTTAGACAAAAGCTATTTTTTTCACCTTTGGTACAAAAAGCAGAAGGTTTTTTTGTGAGAAAGAGTATATTTTGCACATGCACCACTGTATTTTGTGTACCCCCTTTTAATACAACATACAAATTTTCATCACAAATACAATATTTTCCTA